GCCTGTCTGCCATTGGAAGAGATGGGAGAACTCAGAAGAGCCAAAGTTTTCCCCCATCTTTGCCTGGGCGAGCGTCTTGTGTACAGGAAGGGGCCAAGTGTATGTTGTGCAGAAGCCTTTGAAGCCTGGTGAGGGACAGGATGTGAGGGGGTGTGGGAACACGGGCCCCTCAAACCCCTCTACACCTTTCTGCAGGATTAACAGCTCTGCAGCTATTATCCTATCAGAGAAAATCAGCCTCGTCTGCAGAACCTCCATTAGAGACAGGCTGCCCGGGATAATTGACTCAGATACTGCTAATCTAATTCATCCACAGATGTCTAACCAGAAGCCCTTGTACCTTGGGGGTTTCGAGTTAACCAAGGATGTAGGAGGCTCCCTGTAGGTCATAACTCGGACCTGTCTAGGTAGAGACGGCACCTGGATGTGAATGGTAGTTTGACTGGCTTCCAATAGGAGGAGGGGAGAAGATGCCATCTGATGTCTGTAGAGCAGGCCATGGGAATCAGGGGGAAAGTGAAGTTGGGTCTCAGAGGGAGTCTGGTGCTGAACAGGGCCACTGGGAAATCCCCTGAAGGGAGCGCAATGGGTCATGGCACAGCCCAGGGCTTCTCCAAGTCCTCGCTCCAGAGAACACAGCCTCATTTCCCCGGCCTGGACTTGGCCCAGGTTTTACTGCTCCCTCTCTGACTCTTACCTCATTCTCTGGCCCACTGAAGGAGCGGGTGCCAGGGATGTGGCTGACAGTGCCTTGGCTGGTGTGCAGAAAGGACAAGGGGGGCTCGCCTTTTATTCAGATAGTGAGAGGGAAGGAGCTTTGATCTGAGTGTTCTGTGGATTGATTGGTGGGGAGGGCTGGGAGGGGTCCTAGAAACCACCAGTTTGTTTATTTCTTCCAATATAACACAAACACATTTTATCAGAGCTGTCTGGGCACCCGGGGTGGAGGGGACATCAAACCCTGGGAGGAGAAAGGCAGTTCGACCCGAGTGCCCTCCCAACTCTCGAGGTTCCCTCCTTTGTAACCCAGTCAGCTGGAGGAATCTGGCTGTGTGCCAGTAGTCACATGGCACTGTAGAGGGGAGAGCGCTGGTCCTCTGGCCTAGTTGGGCTCTCTGCTCCTCCTCCTTCTTTCAGGGTCTGTAATCCAAACCCTATGTCTGGTCCCAGATGGCCTGCTCCCCCATACAGGTCCATACTCAATGGAGCCCTTTCCTTTTGTGCTACACTCAAGTCATCCAGGATTCTGTACTGGGAGGACCACGTCTGGCACTGTGCTTTGCACTGTGCCTCGTAATCAGGCAATAAGTCAGCCAGACACCAGCTGCAGAACCTTACTCTGCAGAAGGAGGAGAGTGGTGGTTTTGCCCTGCTCAGACACATCTGGAAGACTGTGCCATTTTAGAGGGGATGTTAGCAAACTGGAACATGGCCAGGGGTTGGCCACCAGAAGGGCCAAGGGGTATTCAAATCCATTCTGTACCAAGATTGGTTGAAAGAGCTGGTAATGTCTAGGTCAAAGGAGATTTAGGGATGTGGGTGCTGATGAATGTTTAACAAATAGCTCAGGGTAGGGGGATGTTGGGGGGGGGATGAATCCAAAATACACTTCTAAGTTTAATCAGCATTTTTAGCATTTTCCTCTTTCTGAGGTATAAATGCTTCCACTGAAAATTTAACAATTGCCTCTTACAAGAACTGGGTCCAGTATATCTGAGTGATAACCTGAAGGTTGTCTTCAAATATTTGAAGTTTGTAATGCAGATGAGGGATTATATTTATTTATTCTGCTTGGCCTTGAATTCAGAACTAGGATGGAAAAGAGAGGCGTTCTAGAAGGACAGATTTCAGTTCTGTGTGAGAAAGGATTTCCTAACAGAACTGTCTCAAGCATTGGATTTTGAGCTGGGAGGGTCCTTGAAGGTCATTTTAAAGAAAAGGCCACCTGCTGTAGGTGATAGGCCTGGAGATGGGAGACCCAGATTTGAATCCTGCCTCGGACATTAACCAGCTGTGTAACCAGGGGAAAGTCAAGTCAGTAACGCTGACCTACTTTGTGCCAGTCACTGTGCTAAGTGCTGGGCATACCAAGAAAGGGGAAGACACATCCTTAAAGAGCTCACAGTCTGATGGGGCAGACGACATACAAACAGCCACAGCAAACAAGATACAGACAGAATAAATCAGAAATGATTCACAGAGGGGAGACCCTAGCACAGGGGGATCGAAAAGTCTTTTTATTGTTACCCCATCCCACACCCTGATTTTATAAATGAGGCCCAGAATAGTAAAGGGATTTGGCCAAGGTCACATGGAGGTGGTAACTAACAGTCATGATTCAAGCCCAGGTCCTCTGACTCCAAATTCATTGTTCTTTTTCCCCCCTTTACATCATGTCTTCTATTTAAAGAGACAGTAGAAGTGAGCTAGCCTGGCCAATAACGCCTTTCTCTTCTTGGGAAGGAAGGCTATATGACAGTTTGTTGAGAATGGGGATTCGTGCCTTAGGGCTGGTTGACCTCTGGGATCTCTTCTGGCTCTGAGAGTCTATGTATGACCTACTGAGCCTCAGTGGGTGAGTAGGATTTGGGTAGGGCGGGGGGGGAGTGGGAGAGCATTCCAGGCAGAGGGGATGGCAAAGATGTCAGACGTGATTTAAGCATGATGAATTCTGGCACAGTGAGAAGACTCCTGTCTCTTCTATGCAAAGCTAGAAGTTTCTTTAGCCTTCCTGGTCAGAGACATGATGTCCTAATGATAGTGAATGCCAAAGCCTTGATAAGTTGTCATGTTTTTCCACTTTGGAAAACACTTGTATTTTTTCCCCTTCTGTTCTCTCAGAGGAGGCCCTTCTACCTACCAAAATCATCGTAATAGCTTTCTGCTCCTAACCCTATTTTCTTGGCAGATCTCCAGTTACCGCAGTTACCCTAATTGCCTTGGGCTCCCCTCCTACTTTCTTGGCAGATTAACCTGAATAGCGCCATGAACATCATGAGCCGGAAGTCTATCACGGTGGCCTACGGGGAGGCGGTGCACCACATCATGCAGTTTGACCCCTCGGATCCCAGCTACCTCTATGTGATGACGTCCCACCAGGTAAGGACCCTCCCCAGGGGTTCCATCCGTCCCGTGGATCTCTGGCCTGGAGTGTCTCCGGGCAGCTGAGAATCCCTGGAGAGAGGGCAAGAGGTGACCTCTGAGCTCTGTCAGCATCTGGTGGATGGGGGACCAGCTCTGGAGCAGCCTTGTCTGCTGGGTGTCGTGAACGGAGACATTTTGCACTAGCTTGTGCTTTGAGACCGAGTCTCCGTGCCAGGGCTATGAGGCAATGATAGGTCCATTTACCAACTCATTTATACAGATGCTTTCTCCTATTCTCTGGAACAGAGCACCCAGTTTTGAATGGGGAACTGGGGGCTAAATCGGTGTCAGAGAGTTTCCCTCAAAGCCCAGTTTGGATACCAACTCTAAAAACAAGACCTTTCCTCACTCATTTCCACATTCTCCTGAAATTACTTTGTATATACTTTTCCCTGATTTATTTGTGCACTTGTTGTATTCTTCCAATAGAAGATAAGCTTGTTGAGGGGAAGGTCTACCACATGGGGGGAGAACCTGAGGCCTCGAGACTGCACATGGCCCTCTAGGTCCTCAAGTGCAGCCCTTTGATTGAATCCAAACTTCACAGAACAAATTCCCTTAATAAAAGGATTTGTTGGGGCAGCTAGATGGTGCAGTAGATAGAGCACCAGCCCTGAAGTCAGGAGTTCAAATCCAGCCTCAGACCAAACACTTGACACTCACTAGCTGTGTGACCCTGGGCAAGTCACTTAACCCCCATTGCCCTAAAAAAAAGAAAAAAAAGAAAAGGATTTGTTCTGTAAAACTTGGACTCCGTCAAAAGGCCACACCCAAGGACCTAGAAGACCACAGGTTCCCTGCCCCTGGTCTAGAATAATGCCTGGCATATAGTAGGTGCTTAATAAATGCCTGTTGCATGGAATTGAGGCAATGAGCTGGCAAGCACAGGGAAGCTCTCTTGTGGGAGCCCCCATCATAGCCTTGCTTATATCCTCATTCCTGTGTCATCCATAGGCCTTTTCCATCTCAAGTTATAGAGCCCTGCACCAAAGACCAAGGACGGGGTATTGTATTCAAAAGAACACTGGACTTGGAGTCAAAAAGTTTGAACCAAGTCAAATGGGTTTGAATCCCCTGTTTACTGGTTGTGTGACCTTGGGCTAGTCATGGGACTTTTCTGGGCCTTAGCTTCCTCCTCTGCCCGAGGGGCTCTACAGAGGAACCTCAAGCCCAAAAGATTTGATCCTATGACTCTAGAACCCCACAGAGGCCTAACTCCTCTCTAGGACCCGCAAGCCTTCTCCATTCCACTATTCTGACTTAGAAATTCAAGTTAGCAATTATAGTAGAAGACACTGTGTGAGTGAATGGTAAAATAAAAATGACAGGTGGTCAATGCAGTAGGAATTCAGAGCAGGGAAAGATCCCTGTGGGCTGTGGTAATCAAGGGAAGCATCTAAAAGAAGATTGGACTGACTGCCCAGGGGAGGATCTCAAAGCCCTTTATTGAAAACAAATCAGCAGCCTGCTTCATCATCCTATTTTAGAGTTGGAGAGACTGAGACCCAGGTAGGTAAAGCGCTGCCCTGGGTGCCTGGTTTCCCGCCTCCATGCAGGGTTTTGCCCTCTGCCCCTACCCTACCTGCGGGGAGAGCAGTCCCCTCCATTACCTCTCCTCAGAGAGTACAGATTGGCTGGAGAGGAGTCGAGCTCTGATTTAAATTAGTTTTTAATCTGTCGAAACAAAAGCAGGAACCACTAATTTTATATTTTTATTTTCTGACCATGATTCCCTCCAGACCGGCCACGCCGGGCCAAGCAACTACTTATCACCATCTTCATCTCTCTCGCTCCCTCTTCCCCTGAAGCCAGACAGTGAGCCTGCACGGGGCCTCGGGCCCAGGCCCTTGTTGCCAAGGAGCTCAGAGCTCCTGCTGGACAGAGCCCCAGGGACTCCATCCTCCTGCGTTTGGACAGGGTGTGCTGGACCTTGGAGAGGACTGGCTGTGGTTCCCTCCCTTCTCTCCACCCCCAGACTTTCCACAAACCTGTGCAAGAATATGTGCTTCTAGTCCTTCTACCCTCAAGAGAGGGGGGGCCCCAAGGAGGCCATGTGGGTTAATGGGAAGAGCCAGCGAGCCTGGGTTTGAACCTGGCCCTCACTCTTATTGTCTGTGTAATCACCTCTGAGCATCAGCTTTCTTATCTGTAAAATGGGAATAATGAAACTAGGCTTTGGAGTCAGAGAACCTGGGTTCGAATTCTGGTTCTGCTGATTATTACCACTGGGACAGCGGGTAAGTCATCTTGCCTGTGGGCCGCTGTTTTCCTATCATTAAAATGTGGCATTTGGATCACTAAGGCCCTATCTCACTCTAAGTCCTACAGTCTTTATATTCATGTGATAGCAGCAGGGCCGGCCCTCTGTACATTGTGCTATGGGCAGAGCTTAATTTCTTCCTAAAGCACCATTTTGTGACACTCTCTTGCTCAATAAACTTCAGTAGCTGTCTAGAGGACAAAAACCAAACATCTGAGCCTGGCATTCAAGGCTCTTCATCATCTGGTGCCATACTGTCCTTTACAGCCTCACTTACTTTTGCCCTTTCCTTCAGCCAGATTGGATGACTTACATTCCCAAAGCTGCTTTCTCAATACTTTCTGGCTTCTGGGCCTTTGTTTACGCCATTCCCTCCCCCTGTGATCACCTGCTCCTAGGATGGAAGGACTGTTTGCTGCCAGGTGGGATCCTGGGGTTCATCTGATCCAATGCCCTCGTTTTATAGAAGCAGAAACTGAGCTTCACAGGTTAAGTGACTTGCCCAAAGTCACACAGCTAGAAAATAGTAGAACTCAGATTAGGACCTTGGAGTCTCTTGATTCTAAATCTAGAGTCTTTTCTAATCTATCACATCAGGCCCTGCTTTCCCCATCTCAGCCTGTCAAAATTCTGTCCATCCTTCAAAGCCCATCTTGATTTGCCCAAGGTCACACAGGTACTGGTAGTGGTAGTAGTAGTAGTAGTAGTAGTAGTAGTAGTAGTAGTAGTAGTAGTAGTAGTAGTAGTAGTAGTAGTAGTAGTGGAAGTAGATTATAAGCTCCTTGAGGGCAGAGACTGTCTGTTACCTCTTTTTATATCCCCAGCACTGTGTGCCTGGCACATAGCGGGTGCTTAATAAATGTTTATTGAATAGAGGAGGAGAAGAAGGGAGAGGTACAGTAGTGGTAGTAGTAGAAGTAGATTATAAGCTCCTTGAGGGCAGGGGTTGTTTTTTGCCTCTAAAAAGAGGCATATCCCTAGCACTCAGCACAGTGCCTAGCACATAGTAGGTGCTTAATAAATGTTTGCTGAATTGAGTAGTAGTAGTAGTGGTTTATAAGATTATAAACTCCTTGAGAGCAGGGACTGGTTTTTGCCTTTTTTGTGTCCCCAGCACTTAGCACAGTGCCTGGCCTATAGTAGGCACTTAATAAATGTTTATTGAGTTGAATTAAGTAGGAGGAAGAGGAGAAACTGGCATGAAATGTTTATAATGTGATTTTTGCACATTATTTCATTTGGACTTCACAACAACTGTGTAAGATAGGTGCTCTGAGTATTATCATCCCATTTTATAGAAGAGTAAACTGAAGCTGTGAGGTTAAGTGATTTCCCTGTAGTTACTACACATGTAGTAAGTGACAGAGCCAGGATTCCAGTGCAGTCAATTATTAAACATTTATTTAGTACCCATTATGTACCAGGTTCTGGAGATACAAAGACAAATATGAAACAGGCCCTGCCCTCAAGAAGCTTTTGTTCTGTCAGGGGAGAACTCGGGCTCCCTGACTCCATACCCAGCACCCTTTCCATTCTACTATATGCACACCACACAAAACTAAGAAAATAGGTCTGGCTCCAGTATGGAGAGCTGACCATGGCTGGGTGTTTTCCCCTCCCAAGTGACACTGACTTTTTTTTTTTTAACCAGGGGCCTCAATGTCTTAGTCCAGAGGAATGGGATAGCAAATGGTGGGGATTTCAGGCTCTATACCTGGCTGGTGGGGGAGAGCTTTTTTGGGGATAAGGGCATTCTTAGGCCCCTCATATTATGACACATCAGTGACTCCAGTGCCTTCTGGGAGTCCTGGCCGGAGAGATGGCCAGAGATGGCCACCCAGAGCGCCAGCCTGTGGGACCACTAAGTGGGACTCTTGTGGGTAGGGAGGGGCCCTGGCCTCTGTTCCAAAATAAGCCACGCTCTTGGTCACCCGGCCCCAAGTCCCATGATCATCTGGGATGGTTCCCTCCCCCGCCTATCCCTGTCCATCCACTTAGTGCCATATGCTTGGCGCTCTCTCTTGCCTTCATTCTCTCTCTCTCCCCTTGCTCTGCTTTCCTCATTCTTTCTCCCTGGGACCCCCTGCAGGACCTTCTCACTGGTCTCTCCTGTCTCCAATCTATCCTTACAGTCATCAAAGTTACCTTCCTAGAGCACAGATCTGGCATTGGCACTCCCCTCCTCTCCCCGGTGTTGTGCATGAAATAAGATCCAGACTGCTCCTTAGCTTAGCATGATTCAGCTTCCAAACCTGGGCTCAGCCAACCTTTCCAGCATTAGCTTACTCTACTGCCCTTCATGCAGTCTGCTTTCTGATCAGTCTGGGCTCCTAGCTATTCTTCAGTCTTCTCCTGCCTTTTCCTACCTCCATATGTGTGCATTTCCCACACCTGCATCCATTCTCTCCTCCTCTCTACTGATTGAAATTGTTCTTTTCCTTCAAAGCCCAGGTGTAGTGCTAGGTTCCCTAAAGTGTTTCCTGATCCTCCTCTCTATCCCCTACCCCAGCTGAAAAGGATGTCTCTCTCTCCAAATAATAATAATTATTATAATTGGAATTATAATTTATATAGCCCTTTTAAAGTTTACAAAGCCCTTTGTCTGTGTTATCTTAGTTGATTTTCATATCAGTCCTATAAGGTAGATGTTATCTCCATTATACAGATGAAGAAACAGAAGTTAGGAGACTTGCCCAGAGTTGCACAGCTAGTGAGGATCTGAGGGAAAATGTGAACTCAGGTCTACCTGACTCTGAGTCTACACTCTTGTCTACCTTGCCACCTGGCTGCCAAATGTCTTGCAGCACTTGGATAGGATCTCTGTTTTGCTCTGATCCCATTCTACCTTATGCTCATCAGATAGTCAAACAAGCATTTGTTAAGCACACACTATGTGCTGGTCTCCAGGATACCGAGACAAAAATGACAGTCCCTGCTCTCAAGGAGCTTACCTTCTATTAAGTAAGTTTTCTCTATTACCCTTATTAAATTGGAAAGTCTTCCAAGGCAGAGACTGTTTGATCTTTGCATCCTCAGCACCAAGTTTCCTTGCACATAGTAGGCACTTTTATTAAATGTTTATTGATTCTGAATTTTGAGTAATAAAGGCAACTACTCCTGAGTGTCAAAATGCATGCTATAGGAATTTGGGAGAATACAGGAAGATTAGCCGGGGCTGAAGTAGTCAGGGGAGGCTTCCTGTAGAGGGGAGCCCATTTCTGAGGAGTGACTGACTTGTGCTCCTGGTTCCAGATGGCCAGGGTGAAAGTCGCTGTGTGTGATCAGTACACCACCTGCCCAGACTGCCTGGCTGCGGAGGATGCCTACTGTGGCTGGTGCGCCATGGAGACCAGGTAAGGGTCCTGTGGAGCATGCTGCCGTTCATGATTCTTCTTCCCTCCCTCTCCTCCCTGCCGTTGGACTGTGGGTCAGCCATTGGGACCTGGGACCAGAGGAGGAAGGACTAGGTTGCCATTCCACGATCTTTCTTTCCTCCCTCTCCTCCCTCTCTCCCTGTTGTTGGACTGTGGGTCAGCCATTGAGAATTGTGAGCAGAGGAGGAAGGGCTAGGTTGCCCATTGGTACTTTGGAGGCGGGGTGTTTATGGGAAGTGAAGGTCAGAGTAAAAAGCTACAGAGACAAATTAAGGCTTGATATCAGGAAGAACTTCCTAACAATTAGAGCTCTCTACAAGGGCCTCATAGGGGCATAGATTTATAGCTGGAAGGGAAGTTGAAAGTCATCTAATCCAGTCCTTTCATTTTCTAGATGAGAAAGCTTAGGGCAAGAGTTAAAAATGGTACAGTAGAAAGATCACTGGATTTGGGTTTGTATGCCATTTCCACAATTTACGATCTGTGTCATTTAACCTCAGTTTCCTCATCTGTCAAATGAGGGAGGTGGATGAGCTGACCTCTGAAAGCCCTTCTAACTCTAGCTTTATGATTCTAGAAGTGTCTTGCCCAATGTCACATAGAAGGTAAGTGTCAGAGGTGGGATTCAAGAGGAAGAAAGTTGGCTTGGAAGGTAGTGAGTTTCCCTTTATTGGAGGTCTTCAAGCAAAGGCTGGATGCTTACTTTGCAGGTGCAATGTAATTGGTATTTTTTTTCGATATGAGACGGACTAAATACCCTCTGAAAACAATAGGAAAACAGCTGCAAGGAAGGCTACAGGTATAATTTATTTAGATTACCAGGAAAAAGGATTTGATAAAGTCTGTCACACTGTTCTAGTGGAGCTGATAAAGAAATACGGACCAGACACTAATGCAGTTTGGTGGATTTGGTCTTGGTTGGATCCAAAGAGTAGTCATGAATGGGTCGGGATCAAGGTCAACTTGAAATAAAGTGACTCAGACCTGGGCTTGACCCAGTTCTTGTTTGGCGGTTTTTATCAATGGCTTGGGAAAAGGCAGAGATGGCATAGTGATCAGATTTACAGATGGCACAGAGCTAAGAGAGACAGCTAACATGCTTCATGACAGAGCCAAGATTCCAAAGGATTTCAATAGACCAGACCACAAGGATGAGTCTAGTAAGACAAAATTTCATATGATCAAGTGTGAAGTTTTAACACAACTGAATTTTTAAAAATCAGCTTTATGAAAACAAAAAAGGGGTGGTGTGCTAAGCTAGGCTGTTTATCTGAAATTGATCTTGGGGACTTAGCCAGTTGTGTTTTAGAAAAACATTGGTGAGTGTCTGGAGGAGGGCAAGATGGCAAGTCAGGAACTGGGGAGGTTTAGCCTGGCAGTAAAAAGACGTAGGGGAAGGAGGACAGCTGTTGTCAAGCCTACAATGGGATGTCACATGGAAGGGGGGCAGGGTTAGACTGGCTCTGCTAGAACCTGGAGTAATAGGTAGAAATTTGATGAAGGCAAATTTAGTCTTGATGAAAAAAAAATCTTGCTGATTAGAACTACTCTGAAGTGCAATATGGCACAGTGGACAGAGTTCTGGGAGTTAGGAAGACTCATCTTCCTGAGTTCAAATCTAGTGTCAGACATTTACTAGTTGTGTGACCCTGGGCAAGTCACTTAACCCTGTTTGCCTCAGTTTCTTCATCTGTAAAATGAGCTGGAGAAGGAAACGGCAAACCACTCCAGTATCTTTGCCCAGAAAATCCCAAATGGGGTCATGAAGAGTTAGACATGACTGAAAAAAAAAAAAAGACTGAAAAATGGAATGGGCTGCCTTGGGAAATAAACTTTCCTGTCTCTAGAAATGTTTAAGCAAAAGCTGGCTAATCACTTATGGCGTACATTGTAGAATAGATTCTCATTTAGGCATGAGTTGGACTAGGTAGCAGCCTCTGAAGTCTCTTTTAATCCTGGATGCAAAATATTTATAGATGCCTGCTCTTTGCCCAGAGCTAGGCCTGGAGCAGTGATCTGGACTCAGGGATGGCAAGCAGGGAATCTGTCGACCTCTTTATGTCTCTCTGTGATTCTGGGCAAATGAGAGGAAAAGTGTCCATTGGAGAGGGTTGCAAGGGAAGAGGAGTCATCAAGGAAAAGCCAAGTTTAAGTCGGAGCAGGGGGTGGGGCTAGAAGGAAGGCTCGTAGGAGTTGTCCAGGTTTAGGGGAGTTTGTTCATGGCTGTTCCATAGGGTACACTGGAAGGATCTAGTAGAGAGATGGGCAGGGGCAGAGTGGGCACAGGCTTAGGTACAATGCCTTTTTCTCTCTCCCTGCCTGGCTGCAGGTGCTCCCTCCAGCATGAGTGTGCCAACTCCAGTCAACCCCACTTCTGGACCAGTGCCAGTGAGGGTGTCCAGTGCTGCCCGTCCATGACCATCCTGCCCTCAGAAATCAATATCCACCAGGAGTATTCAGTAAGTATGCAGTAGACAAGGAGTGGGGGGTAGCTGGGGAGCAAGGAAGAGGGAAGATGGAGCCTATCAACTTGCTGAGAGGTAGTGAGATAAAGTGGTTAGAGTTCTAGTTCTGAAGTCAGGAAGACCTTGTTCAAATCTTGCATCAGACTAGTTGTTTGACCGTCAGCAAGTGCCGTACCTTCTCCTGACCTGCTTACTTATCGGTAGAGTAAGTGAATGGGATTCTTCTAGTTCTAAATCTTTGAACTCAGAATTTGGGGTGCTTTCTCCATTGAGAAGCAACCTAGCATGACCCCACAGGGTGACTGCTAGGAGGAGCATGGCTTATTGGAATAAAAGTAAAAGATGGAGTCGAAAGGCCTGGGTTCAAATCCCAGTTCTGCCTCTTGTTACTTGTATGACAGTAAGTCATTTCCCTTCTCTGAAACTCAGTTTTCATACTAGTTGAGCTCTGAGGGTCCTCCACCTCTAACATTTATAAACCTATGATCTAGGACTCTGGCATCAGGATGGATCAGGTCAGGCAGGCTTGGCAGGGTGGGCAGGTAAGGGAGGAAGATCTCAGCAGCAGTCCATGTGAAGGAACCCCAAACAGATCAGCATTTAGGACCAGGATGATCCAGTGGTGGGCAACAAGTGAATATCCCAACAGGTGGCTGGAGAAAAAATGAGGGGAGTCTGGCACAGGTAATAGGAGACAGGTTCGAGCAGGCCAACTGTCAGTGTCTAGTTCCAGCATTCCTGTGTGGGGACCACTTATGGACATTGGGGTTCTGGAGCAGGACTTCAGCCCCCAATTCCTCCCATTTACTGGAACTAGGTGCAAGGTTGGGGCTTGATTGCCAGGGAACAAAGCAAGAGTCTGGTTACGAGAACCAACCAGACATAAGGGTATAGCCAGACCAGCTGATGATACCAAGTCCATGTGTTATTAGCCTAGGGACTCTGATATCCACCCCTTGCTGTCAATGGATGGTCCTAGACTCAGAGTCTGAGGTGGGGTTGAGCCGGCTATTCAGAGGACTAGAAAACTTAGCATGCGAGGGGCCAAACCATTCATTAACAGTAACTTTTCCACGTGACTAAGTGAACATCACACTTAACATCACTGTAATCCTTCACGTCAGTAAAGCCTTCGTCATTTTTACAGCACTTCCCTTGGTAAAGTCCATTTTATGCTCATTTCACTCTCACAAGATCCTTGCAAGGAACTGTCATACCCATTTGACAGATGACGAAACCGAGGCCTGAGAGATGTTAAGTGACTTACTCGTAGTCACACAGGAAGGTATTTCTTTTAGGGACCACATGGGAGGTTAGGAAAGCCACAGAGAGGATCTTAAGATTTTGTAGCTTGAAGATGCTAGGTTCTCTCACCCAACCATTGCATTTTACAGATGAAAAAACATTGAGACCCAGAAAAAGGAAGGAGCTTGCTCATGGTGACATATAGTAATTGGCAGAGCCAGGATTTGATCCTGTCACCTGACTCTTGATTCAAAGCTCATTCTGCTATAATACACACACACACACACACACACACACACACACATACACACATACCATATGCATATATATCTTTATTAATCTCTATATATCTTTATCTATTCCTACATATACATATACATATATTTCTATATTTCTGTCATCTGTCTATTTATCTGTCTGTCTAACTGTCTATCTATCTATGAAACAGCATTTTCTGACATGAGAGCAGGGCCTCATGGTTGCTCCCCCCCGACCATGGGCATCGGGCCCATCCCACGGCCAGCTCAAAGTCTCCCAGGCTTCCCTTTTGTGACTTACAGTAATGACCTCTTGAGCCCCGTTTGCCTCTGGGAGCCTTGGTGGTTTTGCTTCGTCTGGAGACCGTACTAAGGGTGTGGCTTTATGTCCAAGGAACAACTGACCGTTCTCTAGCTGAAACCTGCCCCAAGCAGGGAGGGACAGGCGGGCATTTACCCAGACCACCACCAGGCTGATGGGGGAGGACCATGGATGCTGGACAACATGCCTCCCAAGTCCTAGCATTCCTGGCCGTTTTTTTTCCTTCCTCTTCTTTTTTGGGAGCCCAGAAATGTAGGAGTCAATATTTGCAAAACCGCCAAATGCCAACCTGCTATTTTGCATTCAAACGAACAGATGATTCTCCCAAAGCTGCTGCCGGGTGATACTTTTCTCGCTCTCCCCCAGTGAGAAAGGGACAGTTCTTCAGCTCTTGCTGAGTTGCTGAAAAGCCCCCCTCCCTCAGCAACCAGTCTCTGAAGCCCTGCCGTCTGTACCAGACAGGCAGGGCCTAGTGAGTATTGAGGTGATTGCTGTCAAAAGCAAACAGAATGAGGAAACCTTTTTTTTTTCTTTGAAAGTGACACCAGGCTGGGAACTCCTGATAGCCAAGCAGTTTCAGGGCCCTCCAGCTCCATGACTCAGGCAGAGGACTTACCTGGCACAGCACCGACCAGCAGCAAGTGCCCCAAAGTCACACACGCTCTCTACAAGGCCCCAGAATTGTTTTCCCTCTGTGGTTTCTCTTCTGTAAATGAAGGCAATTGGCCTAGAGGTGTCCTCTGCCTTCCCTATATGTGGCCTCATTGTGGTGTGGAGATAAACCCAAACTCTGGAAGGAGAATCCAGTAATCCTAGACTTTCCTGGGGACCACCCACCCGAAAGAGCCTTGGGTGTGGTCCTGAGGAGGACTGCTAATGATCCCTCTCAACACCAGATGGCCTGGCCATGGAGAATGGTGATTTGGTGTAGTAGATAGAGTGCTAGGCTTGGAAAACCTGGGTTCAAATCCTGCCTCAGAAACGCTGGGCTTCAGTTTCTTCATCTGCAAAATGAAGAGGTTGGACTCTACATCAGAGGTCCCTCCCAGCTTTAAATATGGGGTCCTACGAGTCCATGCCTGTGACTAAGAAGCAACTTTGCTGAAAGTGGAAAGGCTTGTCTCTGGGTTGACCCATAGGTGATAAATATATGTGGCCATAGGGATTGATGAGGACTGTCCACAAAGGCATATTGAGCTTTAAGGCTAACAGAGTTATTGCTAATAGCTGGTTTGGCTCACTGCCCTTGAATCTCTGGTACTTTGAACCAGGTCCACTTAACCCCAATCTGCTGGCTTAGTTCCACCCTAGAGGAGTTGGGCTCTCTATGAGTTGAGGGTCATTCCTGCCCCCGACAAGAGTGGGAAATCACACTTGTGTTGAAACAGACTAAATTAGTCTGTAATTCTGGGCTAGATACATTACTCATGGGCCAGCAGAAATAATAACTCATGCTTACTTAACACATGGCTTTAAGTTTTGCAGAGAGCTCTCTTTGTGACATAGTTTTATCTTTGTTATCCTCTTAGTGCCTGGCACATAGTAGGCACTTAAGTGTCATCTTTGCTATCCTTTTAGTGCCTGGCACATGGTAGGCGCTTAAGTGTCACCTTTGTTATCCTCTTAGTGCCTGGCACATAGTAGGTGCTTAGGTGTTATCTTTGTTACCCTCTTAGTGCCTGGTACATAGTAGGCGCTTAAGTGTTATCGTTGTTATCTTCTTAATGCCTGGCACATAGTAGGTGCTTAAGTGTATATTGACTGACTGAGAAGGGGAGGGACTTACCCATGGTCACAGAGCTAGTAAATGGTGGTGGCAGCATCTGACCCAGGTCTGTGCTGACTCCAAGTCTACTATTATACATTGTGTGTCCTAGGAGCTTGGAGTTGGGTAGGATCTTAGTGGTCATCCAATCCTCTGCCTGATACATGAACCCAGGCTAGTTGCTTGGGAAATGAAGCCACTTGTCATTTCTCAAAGTACCCAGAGCCATATTTGAATGCTCGATTTGGGGCTGCATTACAAACTCAATTGTTCTGTAGAGGTCCCTTTTTGTAGTTCGGAAGGAGGGATTATTTTAGCCTTGGATTGGGCTTGCCAACATTCCTGCCTCATTTGGACCCCAACTCCATAGGGAGCAGTGTGGCATACAAAGGGTTTCAGTCCTGTGAAGTAGGCAGGACATGTTTTATTATCCCTGCTTTATGGAGGAGGAAACAGAGGCACAGAGAAATGAAATGACTTATCCCAGGTCACAGAACTAATGGAGGGGAGGGGCCAGGACTAGAATCTAGGTCTTTTGAATCCATATTGACCGCCAGAGTCCTGCTGACCATTTGAAAGAGGGCAGTCTGAGGCTCAAGGAGAGTGGGTGGACTTGTGCTTCAGAAGAATGGATTAGATGATGACCTTGCAGTGATGAATTTCTCTCCTAGTAGTGGGCTTAGTGAGAAGGGGACAGTCCCACTGTTTGGGAGCTTCTGGAGAGATGGGACTATCTTTCCCCTCTTTTTGTGTTCCCAGCATTTAGTACATCGGGTGCTTGGTATATCATAGGCATTTAATGAATGTTTATTGACTAGGAATAATGGAAGTAAGGAGAAAAATATTTTACTTTATCCCCATCAAAGCCGTCCTCCTCTCATCCATCTGATGTCCCTAGCTTCCCAGGGTTTGTCTCAGGGGGCCCTGTCCAGAGAAGGGGAGGCCAGTGAGCCGGAAAGCTGGGGAAAGGAAGGGAGGAGGTCACCACTCACCCGTCGGCCACCTGTATTTCCAGGGTATGATCATCCAGATCAGTGGCAACATGCCCAGTTTGAGTGGGATGGAGATGGCCTGTGACTATGGGAATGGCATCCACACTGTGGCCAGGGTCCCCGGCCCAGACTTCAGCCACCAGATAGCCTACTGCAACTTCCTTCCTAGGGACAAGTACCCTGAATTTCCATCAGACCAAGGTAAGACCCGAAGGGCAGCAAGCAACCCGTTAGATCTTTATTAGTTGCTTCCTATGTGCCTAACCCAGGCAAGGCATGGTGGGGAAAATAATAATAATAACAATATTAATAATAATAATAATAATAATGAATAACAACAACAATAACAATAACAGCTAACATTTATATAGCACTTACTACAGGCCAGACACTGTGCTAAGTGCTTTACAGATATCTCATCTACGCCTGCAAAAAGGTGCTATTATTATCCCATTTTACAGTTAGGGAAATTTTAGTTGAACAGAAGTTAAGTGACTTGCCCAGAGTCACACAGCTAGGAAGTGTCTAAAGTCAGATTTGAACTCTGAGTTCTTCCTGACTCCAGCCCCAGTGCTTTATCTGACATGCCACCTAGCTACCCATAGATGTAAGAAGATATCTTCTGTACCTCAGACAGCTTATAGGTAGTATTTGGGCTACTTCTGTCTTGTACATGGGACCTTTTAGTGGTCAAATATAAAATGCAGTTGGTTCAAAGCCAAGGCATTTAATGAAGCATCATAGTAAGGAAAGTAGCAATAGAACACTTTCCTCCCATAAACTAGGGACACATTATCCCGCAAATACAATACCAGCAGTGGGAAGAGTAGACACACTTTGGGAGCAGGTGTAGAAGGGCACCCACATAGGGAACACATGTGGAGGGACAACTTCCACCAAAGATGGCACCAGTGTCTGCTGGTGGTGTCACCATGTTTATTCTGTTGGTCTCATGTGGTGTATTGTCTCTGCCAAGCATTATTCTCTATCAGTCTTATTTGGTGGCTGCTGGACAATGCTCATCTGGTTAATGGTTGCAAGTCTCTGCTGGTCTCAGAGCTGCCAAGCTTCTGGGCTTCATCTTTTCAAGGTACCTGCAGGCCATCTTGCCTCCAGTCCTCTAAAATGTAATGACTAGAAAGCCTCTCCTTGATAAGGTCAGGCTATTAGCTCTTTAGTTATAGATGGGATTTGGACCTAGGTCTTCTAAGGCCAGAACCTGATCAATTCACCATGCTGCTTCATGCAGTCTTTTATAGTTCAGCTCAATCCTTTGTTCCAAATTCCTGCCTTTATTGTTATGTATTGGTAGCCAGAAAAAAAGCCTTTGAGCTGCCCTATTATAAGTTAAGGGCAGCTAAGTGGCACAATGAATAGAGTGCCAGGCCTGGAGTCAGGAAGTCTCAACTTCCTAAGTTCAAATCTGGCCTCTGACACTAGCTGTGTGACCCTGGGCAAGTCACTTTACCATGTTTGCCTCAGTTTCCTCATCTGTAAAATGAGCTGGAGAAAGAAATGGCAAACCATTCCTGTATCTTTGCAAGAAAACCCCAAATGGAGTCACGAAGAGTAGGACATGACTGAACAACATAATGACAAGTTATCCAAAAGTGACAATAGGGAACAATTAGAAAAGATGAAAAACAGAAAATGCTTATTGAGCTAGGTGCTTTGGGAGATATAATTACAGGATCTCAGAGTTGAAAGGGACCTCAGAGGCCTTCTGGCCCAACCTGTATTTGACCAAGAATCCCATCTACAATGTATCTGGCAAATGGTAATCTGACCTTTGCTTAAATACCTCTAGTAATATGAAGGTTACTACCTCCTGAGGTAGTCCATTTCACTTTGGGACAGCCTGGACTTGTCTGTTCTGTGTTCTGTGATTAAATGGAAAAGTCTAATCACTCTTGCACATGGCAGCCCTTCAGAGACTTGCAAATGGTTATCAAATTCCTCCTCTCCCTCAACCCTCCCAAATATCTCCAGTCCTCACATCTGATCTCATGAGGCTGCCACCCTCATTGCCCTCCTTTGGACATTTACCAGCTTGTCACTGTAATTCCTAAAATATGATGCCCAAAATTGAACACAGTAATTAAGAGGTAGTCTGACCGGGGCAGATTATAGTGGGATTATTACCTGCCCTTCTTCTGCTCCCTAATGCAGCCTAAGTTGGAATTTTCTTTTTTGAATACTGTTATCATACTGTTGACTCATACTGAGTTTGCACTTCACTAAACCCCTCAGATATTTTTTGCTGTCTAGCCATTCCTCCTCCATCTTGAACTTGTCAATTTATTTTTTAAATCCATGAATAAGACTTGCATTAAAAATTTATCCTATTAAATTTTTATTAGATTTGGCCTGTCAAAATCTTTTTTTGGGGGGGCCTCACTGTCATTGTAACCTGTCAGTTTTCAGCCTCCGATTTAATAAGCATGCTGTCTTTCTCCAGGTTGTTGATAAAAATGTTAAATGGTACCTGGCCATAGACAGATCCCTGGGACACAACACTAGAGACCTTGGTATAATTGTGGATCAGCCACCTTAATACTTTATATATGAATAATGTCTCAGAGTTTCTCATCCATTATTTGATCTTTATATAGTCCAGTAAAGTCAGTCCATTGGATGTTATTATCCTTATTTTACATATGAGACAACAGGAGCTCAGAAAGGCGAGGTGATTTGTATGAACTCTTTTTTTTTTTTTTTTGGTTAGGCAATTGGGGTTAAGTGACTTTCCCAGAGTCACACAGCTAGTAAGTGTTATGTGTCTGAGGTAAGATTTGAACTCAGATCCACTGTGCCACCTTGCTGCCCTGCATGAACTCTTGTAACTAGTTGGGGGATGAGGAGTGAGCCAGGACTAGAATCCAGAGCTCGAGGGTGTGATTTCCCCCATAAAGTGACTTCTTCTGACTTCCCTGTTTCTGTCAGTTGTGCCACCATTTACCCTGTCTTCCATACTTGAAATCTTCCTGTTATTGACTTTTCCTTTTCTTCTACCTCTTATGTCACTTATGTTCCTAGCTTCCTCTCAATCCCAACTAAAATCCCTTCCCTGCCAAACATACTAGACTAGAGTCTTTATCTCTCTTAATTATTTTCTGTTTACCTGGTATATGGTTTTATCAATCAAATTCTATGAAGTGCCTACTCTGCACCAGTCATTGTCCTAAGCAATGTTTGTACATAATTATTTGTGTGTTGTCTGTCCCATTAGACCCCCCTGAGTGCAGGGGCTGTCTTTTGCCTCTTCTTGTATCCCTAGTACTTAGCGAAGTGCTTGGTTTACAGTAGGTGCTTAATAAATGCTAATTGATTAAGTTACTAAGTCCCATCCATGTCACTTCTTCAACATCTTTCATCATCCTTTTCTTCTTTATTCCTGCTGCCATCACTTTAGGTCTTTTCACCTCTATCCTTCCCTCCCCTCTTCTAACCCATCTTTTATAAGAGTAATCATGTTGTTCCTTTGCTCCAAAATCTTCAATGGCTGCATAGATAGATAGATAGATAGATAGAGATCTATCTATATCAAATGCCAAACATACACTTTCCAAAAAGACTATTTTATTCAGAACTCATACAAGGCAAGGGTTCACATGGAAGTCAGAAGAAGTGATGCAAGGACACTCTCAAGGTCTCTCTTAAGAACTTTGGAATTGATTGTGTGACATGGGAGGCACTGGCACAGGACCGCTCAGCATGGCATGCCCACATCTGAGAAGGTGCTGTGCTCTATGAGCAAAGCAGAACTGAAGTATCTCAAAAGAAATTTGAGATGGGCAAATTTAAAGAATCCAACCAAAATGTTCACATAGACTAATTTGTGCTTGACCTGTGGTAGAACATTCTGAGCTCGTATCGGTTGGTTTGATCAGCCACAGTCAGACACGCTGTAACTTGACTCCACCATAGTGATGTCATTTTGGTCATCTTTGAGCAAAAAGAAGCAACCAACTCTGTGTGTGTATGTGTGTGTGTGTGTGTGTGTTCTCCCTGTTACATGTTAACACAATTGTTAAAATTCATTTTTTTTAAAGTTTTAAGTTCCGAATTTTATCCTTCCCTCCCCTTCTCCCTTCACTCCTCCCTGAGATGGTAAGCAATCAGATCTAGGTCTTTCAATGGCTTCTTAATGCCTACTGAGGGTCTCCGCACTATGGCATCATCCCACCTTTCCAACCTTATAAACTTTGTTACCTTCCTCCTGTTCTATGATCCTGCCAAACTGCATTCTGTTCTTCCCACATGCCACTCCCTCGCCCATCGCCCTGCCTTTGCATGGCCCTCATGCCTGGGGATTCCCTCCCTCATCAGCTCTGCCTCTTAGCTTCCCTGGCTTCCTTCAAGACCCAGCTCAGATCCCACTTTCTGTGGGAGGCCTTTGTTTCCCAGACTCCCCAACTGCTAGTGTCTTCCCTTCTGAGATTACCTTCCATCTACCCTGTATGTATTTTGTATGTCCTTAGTTAGTTTCATGATGTCTCTCCCATTAGAATGTGAGCTCCTTGAGGCCAGGGACTCTCTCTGCCTTTCTTTGTGTTGCCAGCGCTTAGCAGGTGCCTGGCATACAGTAAGTACTTAATAAATGCTTATTCTTCTTGTGTTCTAAACTACTCTACCCTCTCCACCCTGAATAAATCTTTCATTCTTTCTTCCCCCTCCTCTACTTTTTTCCATCTTTTTCCTCTGTCAGAATGTTTCTCTCCCTCTCTCCACTTATTAAATTGCTATCCATCTGTCAATATCCAACACACTTTGAGGAAACCCACCTGGCCTGCAGTCTCCTTCTCCAGTTAGTGATCACCCCCATCAGACCTTACAGAGTACTCTGTTTTGCATCTGTCTCTAGTTTGCACTTACCATGTCATATTATGTACTAGTTTTCAGTGTGTGCATGTTAGCCCTTAACTAGACTGTAAACTTTATGAGGGCAGGAACCAAGTCTTAACTAACTAAACTTTGCATCTCCCCCAGCAAAATGTACAATCACACATTAATAGACATTATTGAATTGAATTAAGCACCCACGGGCCCTGTCCTCAGGGAACCCAAGCTGTAGCTGGGGAAGACCAGACTAATCCACCTTAAAGAATCAGAGAACGGCTAAAGTAGTAAATTGTGTCAGCCAGACAGTGGAACAATTGAAGAGTTTTCTCATGGCCCCGTGTATCAGGGTTAGCCTATGGGGCCCTACCTGGGGGCAAGCAGACTGGGATTTCAGTCCCTTAGCATTTTGAAGGGAGTGCTCAGCCCTGTTCAGCTTACCCCAGTCTCAGGGCCCCAGGACACAAGGGAATGCAATGTGCATCATGCCCACAAGCTGAATCCAGCTCAGAGTTGCCAGGCAACATTTGCAATCTAGCTCTGGTTGCTGGGGGGACCCATTAAACCCTTGTGGATTGGGGGCCTCCAGTTTCTCTGGCCCAGACTGACAGATTAGACTTTCTGGGGTTTCTCTCCCAACCCCATTCCACTCTTGTTGCTGTACATGTGCTTCTTTCTGCGTATTGGGTTGTGTCTCTATTTGTGTATGAGTGTATGTTGGGGTCTCTCTGTGTATGTGCATGTGTGTGTATGTGTGTATGTTTGGGTTTGCGTGTGAGCAGATGGGTGGTATACAGCTTGTTTTTGTTTTACTTATGAATCCAAAGAGATACAAGAAGCAAACCTATCTCACTCTCTACCCCAACCCAGGGCAGCATTTCACAGAGGGAAACTGGGGGACTTGGCTTCTGTGGTTCTATGGTGAACAAATAATACTGAAGAGTGCTTAATGAGAACAGTAATTATCTTCTCCTGGTGATAAAGCCTCTTCTTCTGAGAAGCTCATTTTTTTTTCCCCCAGGCCTGACCTCATTTATCTTTCCAGCATCTCTGAGAAGTAATAAGGAGGTGGGAGATAACAGCCTCCAAGGCTGTAGTCCAGAGAGGTTAAGGAATACTCTGGAAATCACACAGTGTATCATAAGCAGCCAGGTTTTCTAACACCCGGTCTGGTGCTGTTCTTAACTAGCTATGTTGTTTGGAGGGGGAGTGAACTGGGGTCCTGGGGAATTCCCAAGGATACCCAGGTTTGCCACATGGTTGTCTCTGGTCTTCCCAGACTCCCTTTTCTCTGCTGCTCCCCCACTTCCTATCACACTACTGTCCGCACACGTCATTTTGGCCTGCTGTCCCTTGGCAGTGCCCAATATGCCAGAACTTTCTCTCCTGCCTCCCTGTTACTGTCCCCAAACTAAATTTACTCCAAAGGTTGAGTGGATACTAAAGGCTCAATCCCCAGGAACATTCACCTTTTAACCAGGAACTCGACTTAACCCAAAAGGCTTTGCTACTCATTGTCTGGTTGACCATTGGCCGGCTATTTAAATTCTCTTGACCCCAGTTTCCTTGTCAGTAAAATGAGAACGCTGACGTAGATCACCTCCATGGTCCCTTCCAGTAGCTGATGAAAGAGTGTATTTGGAGGCAGGAAATCTGGGTTAGTTTGTATTTATTTATCTCTCTTCAACTTATGGCCCCATGATGTAAGCTCCGGAAAGGCCAGACCTGTTTCCTTTTTGACTTCTTATCCTGGATAACTAGCCCCAGGCTCATAATGGGTGCTTAATAATAAAGACTCTTGGATTTAATAGAACCTTAGCTCCAGAACTTACTAGCAATGTGGATTTGGACAAGTCCTCCCAGCCTTTTGGAACCTCAGATTTTCTTCATCTTTTTTTTTATTATTATTTTCTTCATCTTTGAAATGGTCCTAAAAATTCTCATACTACCTACCTGAGAGGACTCTGAGGAGAAAAGCAATTTGAAAGTCTGCGTAATTGGCACATGTTCTCCAATCCATCTTCCACAGAAAAGCCATAATGATTTTTTCCTAAAATGTTAAGTCTGATCATGTCATCCTCACTATTCAATAAACTTCAGTAGCTCCCTATTACCCACAGCAGTGGTGTCAAACTCAGGCTGCCTGTTGACTCAGAGACCACAAATGAATATTTCTTATGTTGTATTGCGTCTTTATTGGTTTTGTTGAATGTTTCCAAATTACGTTTTTGATCTGACACTCGAGAGGAGTGCCTTTTGCACTGGAGGTCACCATGCCAGGAATGCTCTGCTTCCTCACCTTACCCTTGCAGAATCCCTGGCTTTCTTCAATATTCTGCTCAAACCCCACCTCCTGCAGGAGGACCTTTCCCCTCCCCCTAGCTGCTAGTGCCCTTCCCTCTGAGGCTACCTTCCACCTACCCTCTATGTATCTTGTACGTATCTGGGTGCATACATGTTGTCTCCCCCAATAGACTGCGAGCTTCTTGAGGGCAGGGACTGTTTTTACCTTTCTTTATATCCACTTCTTTTTAGCATAGTCTCTGGCACACAGTAGGGGCTTAATAAATGCTTGTGAAAAAATGGTAGCTATTATTATCATGATTGAAGCTTCAGTGGTAGAATTTCAGGTGATGGGAGAGAGATTTTGGAGCCAGAGAGATGCTTCGTGCCTACTCCTAGGGGGCTGTTCTTGGGGGAAAACTGAGGCATACTCCCATCCCCAAAGAGGGGAATAAGCAGGAATCAAATCCTCCTATTCTTTACAAACATCCTTCTCTTTCTCTCCCTGTCCTCTCCCCCATTCCATTCTAGACCACGTGACCGTCCAGACAGCTGTGCAGGTCAATGGCAGAAACATCGTCTGGGCCAATTTCACCATCTATGACTGTACCCGCACAGGACGTGTCTACCCTCATACAGCGTGAGTGACACCCCTCATGGGGACCGCCTGGTTGGGAGATGGGACTAAGGGGAAAAAAGGACTCAACCCAGTAATCAGTGATCAATGTTACTTATTGAGCTTGTTAAAGGGACTTTTCACAACTTGTTTGAGCCCTGTTAACATTAAATGGATAATAATTAATAATAATAAAAATATCTAACATTTATATAATGGTTGCTATGTACAAGGCACTGTGCTAAGCACTTTGCAAATATGATCAAATTTGATCTTCATGACAACCCTGAGAGGTAGGTACTGTTATTTCTCCATTTCACAGTTGAAAAAAACTGAGGCAGAGGCCCAAGGTCACACTAGTCTGAGATCAAATTTGAACTCAGGTCTTCCTGACTGTAGGCCCAGTGTTCTATCCATTGTGATACCTAGTTACTTCATTTGTAAACTTAAAGCATTGGAGTAGATCATCTTTAGTCTAGGACTAGGATGGGACCAGGAGATCTAGGTTGCTTTGCTTTTATCCTATATTTACTTCTCTGTGTCTACAGTATATCACACTCACACACATTCCAAGTAGAATATAAGCTCCCTGAGGACAAGAACTGCTTATTTGTTAATTTTGTAGCTCCCGTACTGAGCACAGTGTCTGCAGTATGCGTGCGTGCCTACGTTATATCAGGGATTTAATTAAGTGGTTGTTGAATTAAGAGAATTAAATTATGATCAGATACTAGGATGATCTCAGTTTTGGCCCTAGAGAAAATTGTAGAATCAGAATCTTGGATTCTGAAGGGAAATCAGCCTTCCTGAAAAGGTGCTATCAATCTCATTTGAATACCTCTAGCAATGGTGTTGGGTTAGAACTCTGGGTAAGGCAGCCCCAGGCCCCAATCTGCTTCTCTCTAGCTGGGTGACTTTAAGTCTCCCATCCTCTCTGTCTCTCCATTTTCCCATCTGTAAAATGAAGGGTTACACCATATAATCTCATAGGGCCCTTCCTACTCTGAACAGTCTAGGAGTGAGTCTCTGAGCTTTGTATTTCCCAAGGTAGCTTGTCCCATTATTGGCCACAAGAGATCGAGAGCTGGAAGGGAGACTAGAGGGCATCTAAGCCTGTGCCTTCATTCTACTGATGACTAATACTCTGGCCCATGGAGGCCACACAGGTAGTGATGGTCAGATCTGGGATTCAAACTCAGGCCCTCAGACTCCAGAAGCTGCTCTCTTTCCACTGTGTCACACTTCAGAATCTTTTTCTCCTATAACTACCTATCCCCACAGGTCCCAATTATGGCCCCTGGAGATCCACAAAAAATGTCTATGTCTTTGTCCACATTATACCTCTTCAAGTATTAGAAGACAGTATTCATATCTCTCTTATCTTCTTTTTTTCTTTTCTTTAAATTTCCTTTTCCATTAAATTAAATTCTTTTCTTTAAATGAAATTCTGTTCTTAAAAAAATTCTTTTCTTAAAAAAATTTTCTTTAAATTACATTTTTCTCTAAGTTTTCTGAAATTATTTTCTTTAAATTACATTTTTCTTTAAGTTTCTTAAATTATTTTCTTTAAATTTTCTTTTCTTTAAATTTCCCTTTTTATTATTAACTTACCAAACGTAAACATTTCAGTATATAGAGAACAGAAGGGAGGATTGTCTGAAACTGTGAGCTTGTTCCATGTGGTTTGTAACTGTATATTAACCTCAGTGCAAGAGTAACAAAATAGCTCTGCTTGTTTGTGTCCCCTTCCTAACTCTCTCCTGCTCTCTTCTGTTCTATTTGATCATCCTTCTTCCTCCTCCTCCTCCCCTTCTTCTTCTTCTTCTTCTTCTTCTCTTCTTCTTCTTCTTCTTCTTCTTCTTCTTCTCTCCTCCTCCTCCTCCTCCTCCTCCTCCTCCTCCTCTCCTCCTCCTCCTCCTTCTCCTCCTCCTCCTCCTCCTCCTCCTGCTTTTTTTGGTGGGGAAGGAGGGCATTGCTACCATGCTCTCCTTTCTTCCCCTCCCCCAACTTCCTGCAGGATCATAGATTTAGAACAGAAGGGACCACTGAGTCAACTCCCTCATCTTACAAATGAGGAAACTGAGACAGAAAAGTCAAGTCATTTCCCTAGGGCCACCCAGTAAGTGTCCGAGCCAGGATTTGAACTTGAGTCTTCCTGACTCTAGGACCAGCTCTCTAGGCCCTGTACTACCTTGTTCAGTTGTGTCTGATTCTTTATGACCTCATTTGAGGTTTTCCTGGCAATGATACTGGAGTGGTTTGCCATGTTCTTCTCCAGTTCATTTTACAGATTTGGAAACTGAGGCACATAGGGGTTAAGTGACTTGCCCAGGGTCACAGCTCCTTAATATCTGAGGCCATATTCAGATTCCATCATCAGGAAGATGAATCTCTCCGACTTCAGTCCCGGCTCTCTACCCACTGGATCACCTAGCCATCTCTTATAAGAAATAAGAATTTTTAAGTCAAGCAAGTCTTTTTTTCTAGGCAGCTATGGATACAATGGCTAGAGTGTAGGCCTTAGATGCAGGAGGTCCTGAATTCCAATCCTGCCCCAGATGTTTATTAGCTGTATGACCCTGGGCAAGTCATTTAACTTCTCAAAGCCTCAGTTTTCTCACCTGTAAAATGGGGATGATAATAACACCTACCTCATAGGATTGTTAGGGGAATCAAATGAGATAATGTAGAGAAATACTCATAAACAGAGCACTATGTAAATGCTAACTATTATTATTTCTAGTCTCAACATCCCTAGATCTTTTAACCATTCCTCATATAGCTCAGTCTCACCGGGTCATTTTCCAATATGTGAATGAAGTGGTAGCTCAGGATGTAATCAGCATCCCTTCTGGAACTGGGTGACTTGTGTTTGGGGAAGGGCAGCTGGAGAAAAGTTTCCAGTTAATAAAGCAGGAAAGCCCCCGCCACCCCCGAAGCCGAGGGATTGTCTAAGAAGGAAAACTGCCAGGTACCACGATTCCCTAACAGAAAAAGTAGATGAGATTTTGGCTTTCTAGGAGGCCCATTTGGGATCCTGTTCCCTTGAGTCCTAAACCACAAAGGATGTTGGTCTGTGGGAAACTTCTTGAGCCCCCGGCATCTCAGCTCCCCCTCCCCAAACTAGCCTTTCTTTTCTTCTTTGCTTGTCTTTTTTTTCTGTTAAAGTAGTATTGAGGTCTTAGAAAGAGGTGAAGAGTAAGTGGTCCCCCCTCACTTAAGTTCCTAAGCTAGTTTGGGGTTCAGAGGCCCTCACTGGTCCTGACTATATCTGGCCTTTCCAAATACAGCTTAAAGGGCAATCCTATAGCTTGACCTCTCACCTGACGTGGCAATCAAATCAAGTTAACAAGCATTTATTAAATGTTTACTGTGTACCGGGCACTGTCCTAAATGCTGGAGGGTCTAAACACAAGCAAAAACACATAGTCCTTGCTCCAGGATGGGGTTTGGCAGCGTCCCCAGGATCCTTAGAAATCTGCATGTAGAGGAAGAACTTGGTGCTCGGTGAGAAGACAAGTTTGAATCCCAGCTCTGTCCACTGTTCACAGAGACCCTGAGCAAATGCCTTCCTGTCTCTGGGCCTCAATGTCCTCATCTATTAAATGATCCCCTCTGGCTCTCAAATCCTATGATTTCTTTGATTCTCAAGCTCTCTGATTGTGTACAGGTTCTCACTCTGGGTCTCTGGCTGCTTAGCTGTCCAAAATGAAGCAGATTAGTGGGTTTTCAAAGCCTATTATTACTGTGAGACTGGATGGGAAAATTGAGGCTCTCAGTGGAAATTTCCAGCAAGGAGTGAGAGAGATTGTCATCTGAGGGTCAAGATAACAGAGCCCGAGGAGCCTAGGAAAGATTCTGACATTCAAGGATTCTTAGTATTTTTGAGTCCTTCCGATAGCCCAGAAGGGTACAGGAAGTGAATTTTGCCCTCATAGAGCTCCCAGTATAGGTCTGGGGTTCTTAGCTTGGGGTCTGTGAACTTTTTTTTTTTTAAGTTTGGTAACTGTATTCCTATATAACTGATTTCCATGGTAATCCTATGTCCTTTATTTTGTGCATTTAAAAATACTATTCTGGGAAAGGGTCCATAAACTTTACCAGACTGCCCAAGGGGCCTATGACTCGCAAAAAAAAAAAAAAGATTGAGAACCTCTGGTCTACTTGAAGACAGTATAAAAACATCAAAAGACAAGCCAACAATACCAATAGAATTTAAGCTCTTTGAAGGCAGGGAATGGAGTTGGAGGGACCAGGAGTGGTAGTCACTGAGTTTCCCTGAGTTTCCCAGGGACTAAACTTTTCCCCCTTCTCTCACTTGTTAGAAATGAATGTCAAAAGATTTCTGAGTTGGACCTCAACATCATCTTGTCCAAACTTTTCATTTTGAGGAAACTCAGGTTTATAGAAGTGAAATGACTTGTCCTAGGTCATATCTGGTCAGTGGCAAAACTGGAATTTGAACCCAGGACATCTAATTCCAAACTGAGTGCTTTTCCCACTATGCCACAGTGCTCTCTCTTCAAAATCAGTATTAATTGTTTGCTCAGAAAAAGTTTCCTAGTCCCCTGCCTCTGGCATAGTCAGCAGGTTATGTGTGAGTCAAGGATGGAGAGGTGATTCAAACCAGATGGAGGTGGGCAATCTCAGTCCTTGGCCCCCAGTGTTTGAGCCTGATTCTTCACAGAGTCCCAACATGTATGACAGCTTCATGTCTCAGAATCCCTTGGGAGGGGTCAGCACCACTGATAATGCAGTGGAAAGAGCATTGAATGTAGAATCACAGGTCCTGGGTTCAAATGCTGGCTGTGTCACTTACTACTTCTGTAACCTTGGTCAAGTCCACCTCTGAGCCTCAGTTTTCTCATCTGTAAAATAAGAGGGCTGAATGGGAAGACCTTTAAGGTCCATTTTAACTCCAATCTAGGTCTTATTCTCTTGGCTTATCTTTCCCCAGACCTGTCTCTGGTTCTATATGAAGACCAGACCTGCTAGTTGTGGGTCAAGCTGAGGGTCGGCCTCCATGCCTGAAGAGACATGCAGAGGGGGTGGGCAAGGGAGAGGAGACCTGAAGCCCCAGACCTCAAGGCCTGTGCACGGGGCTAATCCCACAAGTCCAGGAGCAATGTTGGACCCCAAGTCCAGAGCCAGAATCAGCAGGGCTTGTGAATCTGGTTTAATTCACCCAACATGGTGTGGTGGGAAAAGCCTTTCTCTAGGAGTCAGGAAACCTGGCCTTTTCTTCCATCTCTCCAACTAACTTGCTCTGTGACCTTAATTTAAAAAGTCACTTTCCTTTTCTAGATCTCATATAAAATAAGAAAATAGGACTAGCTGACTAATCTTTAAGGCACCTTCCATTTCTGAAGGCTTAAGTTTGACATTCCCTTCATACTCACATGTTCTAAATTCTAAATACTCTTTACTCTCTGACATTTTGTGTTCTAAGACCCCTTTATCTCCAATATACTGTGTTCTAAATAGTCTTTACCCTCTGATATTTTATGTTCTAAGACCCTTTTACTTCTCATGTTCTGTGTTCTAACTCCTCTTCCCTTTCTACCCTTCTGTTTTCTAAAGTCCCTCCTATCCTTGACATATCTTGTATTCTAATATTTTGTGTTCCAAGTTTCCTCTGATCTGTGTCATTCTATATTCATTCAATCTGCCCACCAAGAATCATTCATCTGTATATATTCCAACATCCTCTGGTCTATGGAATCTTGCAGTTCCAACATTCTAGGATCATGAGTATTTTTTGAGCATCTACTGTGGGCCTAATTCTATGCCAGTTCCTGTTATGGAAAGGTTATGTAAGACAAGAGCTCACAGTCTAGTTGGAACAACAGGGCATAAACATGTGAAAAGATAACCAGTAGTACAAGTAGAATGTAAGCTCCTTGAGGGCAGGTCCTGTTTTAGGTTTTGTTTTTGTCTTTGTATCTCCAGAGCTTAGCACAGTGGGGGCTTATTAGATGAAATTGAATGAGATTGAATGTTAGATAAAATAAGCTAAGTGCCCGATAGGTAATTCCTGCAGGAAAGAGCTCAGTGTGGGATGGGGTGGTCAGGGAAGGCTTCTTTCTCAAAGGTGGCAACTGACTTGGGTCATGAAGACTGAGTAGATTTGAATTATTGAAGAGAAATTGGATTCCAGGTGAGAACAGCCCAAACAAAGGCCCTGAAGTGGGTATAGAGGTGTGATGTCCAGCAGACAGTGAAGGATACTGGGTGAGTGGGAATGGAAGGTCTGTGTTGGGGAGCAGTGGACGTAGGGAAGCATTTGGGGGAGTGCCATGGATGTTAAAAGGCCCCACCTTCGTTGTGTTTTTCAGATGCACCAGCTGTCTGTCCACCCGATGGCCCTGTTTCTGGTGCACTCAGCAGCATACCTGTGTCTCCAACGTGTCGGAGTGTGGAAGCACAGCAAACCCCACAGTAAGTTGGACACATCAGAATCCCCTTCCCTGTAAACATCTGTACCTCTGTGTTTTCTCTAAAGGCTCTCAGCGGGGTTGGTGGGAAGATCAGGGTCCCCATGCCCAGGTCAGGGTCTTCTTTAATCCTCTTAAGTGTATTGTGCCCCAATTTTGCATTGACCCTCCATTCCCTGCCCTTGCTTTCATCTTCCATACACGTCTTCATAAAATCCAAGGTGGTTAAGTGAGTTCTCTCTGCATCCGTATCGGTCTCTTTAGTAATTCACTCTTTCTCTCCTCATCAGATTCCCTTCTCTTGGTGCCTTCAGGGTTTCATTCTTGAGACCCTCTACTCTGAGCTGACTTCCCCTTGAGGCTTTGGTCCATAGGATCCTACCTCTCCTTTCTTTGAGCCTTTTAAAATCTGTTCTTCCAAAATCTAGGGTACATGTTAGATTATTACCAGCTGAATTCTCCTCTATCAAAAATTCTATGATGGAGTGGTCATTTCCCCATAAAATTGCTATCATTTCTATTCCAGCAACCACACTTTCCTTGTTGGTCAGAATCAAGTCCAGTGCAGAATTTCCCCTTGTTGGTTTCTCTACTTTGTGAAGGCACAAGTTATCATTAAGAAATTATTAGCTGTTTTGCCTTTGACAGATGTGGGTAATTAAAATCTTCCATAACTACTCTATCATGCTTATGTTCCATATGTCAGAATTGGGCTTGTGATTTGTTTCCTGATTGCATCATCTCTTTCCTCTTTTTGTCCAGGAGATTTATAGTCAGGGGTGAGTGGTTAAATATTTAACAACCAGCTCTTTAAAATATGCATGATATACTTTTTGAGTTTAATCTACATTGTTAATATTTCTCCCATCACTTTCTTAAGTCTAGACAATCAACGGAGTAATAAATCAAACCCTGATTCCTAGTATTTGCCAATTTCCTGAGACATAAATGCTCACACTGATTATTTAACAGTTGATTCTTGCAAGCCAGTATGAGCTGGCTCCAGCACACCCCTGTCCATAGTATACTTACTCTAATGTTAACACCATTTCTGTTTCTACCTGTGTTGATCCTTACCCAATGCTTTCCACTATGTTTGTCTATCTGGTTCCTAGGTCTCCTCATATGAGCATAACTCCTCTGGAATTTTACCAACCCCATTTCTACATCCCCTGTTCCTTTAAGGGATCCCTAGCTTCCAAAGCTCTATTCCAAGCACAGGTCCTATCCTACCCAATCTCTGGGAAGCCTATGGTGGCAAATTTGCCTCCTTGCACTGAGGGCTTTATTGCTAGCTACTATTTTTGGATTTTGTCTTCTGTGAAATTCTGAGCATCTCTGTTGCTATTTTTCTTTCTTCATTGAAACTTTCTTTTATATGAAATAGGCATATGTATATATTTTGTTGTTGTTCAGTCATTTCAGTTGTGTCCAACTTTTCATGACCCCAGGTAGGGTTTTCTTGGCAAAGATACTGGATTGGTTTGTCATTTCCTTCTCTAGCTCATTTTACAGATGAGGAAACTGAGGCAAACAGGGATCAAGTGACTTACCTAGGGTTACATAGCTAGCGTTTGAGGTCAGATTTGAACTTGGGTCTTCCTGACTTCAGGTCTCCTGTGCCACCTAGCTGCCTCATATGTGTATATGTTCACACACATAAACATATATGTGTACATATATATGCATGTATGTATACATGTATCCATTTGGCGAGGGCTGTCCACCATGCATATCTTTGTGCCGCTCTAATGGAGGCAGAATAGCCTCTTCTCCCCCACCCTTCTCCAAGGGAGACTTTAATTCCTACCAGGTGAGGAAACAGGAGGGCTGAGGCCAGGTGGTTTGGCCGCTCTGTTCTCCTCAGAGAGAGGAAGTACTGGGCTAAAATTATACCCATCTACTCCCTTAAATATTATTAATCTAGGTGTTGTGATCAGATTCAAAGTAACTTCTGATCATTGTTTCATTATTGGGGAAGCAGGACCCCAACCTTTATATGTAAGGCTTGACCCCTTTCCTGCTGAATATCAGGTCCTCAATGGACACACATAACACTTAGTCAAGAAACCCATTTATTCAATTTGGTGGAAAATAGGAGTCAGAGAAAATATCTGTGGGAGAATACATACCAGACAGTACAGAGTGAAAGGAGCTCTTCCATTGAGAGCAAAGAATTTCAGCTCAACCAAGAGAGAGATTCCCGGATCTCACCCAAGGGAAAGTTCCCTGAAATATCCGATGTAGGAAGCTGGGGCCAGGACATGATAGAGGCAGCCAGCTCCTCTCACGTCGCCTTCTTCCCAGAGCTTTTCCTTCAGCAACCTGAAGTGGGGTTGGCATCTTCCATCTTCTGTCTTGAAGCTGGAAATCAAAAGTAGCTGCAGAGCCCAAAACAGCTGAAGAGATTGAAGAGGCCAGAGATCTCCTTTCTCCCCTGCTCTCACCAACTTTGTCCTGCTCCTCATGTAGGTGCAAGGCATTGATCTCCACCAATGAGGAAATCTAGGCCACAGCCTAGAATACACAGAGTACCTGCAGGAGTACTTCCTCCCTGACTTGGAGGTTTGGGGTTTTGTTTTTACTTTCTGTATTTAAGCCATGGCTCAGAAATACGTGGCATTGGCCTGTGAGAGTAGGGAGAGAACTACTGCACTTGGCACAGTGCCTGGCACATAGTAGGCACTTAATAAATGTTGATTGATTGAAGTGATAAACTTAGAATGAACTGAGGCCAGTGAAGTTGCTAAAGATGATTTTTTTTAAAGATGACTTTTTTTTAAAAACTCTACTAGAGGAAGAGAAATCAAAAGATTGCTACTGCTTATGGCAGAAAAGAATTTGAAGAGGAGGTGAGACCATTTGGCTTTTCTTTTGCTTCTGTTATTGTCTTTCCTTATACTGGAAAGAACAGAGCAAAGTGGTTCATTGGGAATGAACACTCAAAATAAGCAGAAAGATAGTTCTGGATAATAAGAGATTCTGTTATTGAAATGACCAGAAAAGATTCATGCTTCCAAGAAAAAAGCCTCCCACCCCTACAAGAGCAGCTGTTTAAATTGCTTATTGGCAGACCTCAACATATCTTATCCACAACCCATTTGGTTTTCTCTTTCAGTCTGTTCCTATGGCTCCTACCAGACAAAGCCCCCCAAAATAGAAGGGCAAGCATGAGGTCTGGCCAGTAGTCCAGGCTACCCAATGGGGACACCAAGGCAGCTGGCAAGAAGAAGTATGCCTCATTCCATATAAGGAGGTGGAAGTAGAGTCAGTCAATCAATCAGTCAATTAATTAGCATTTATTAATCACCTACTAGGTGCCCAAAACTGTGCTAAGTGGGGTTTCTATGTCATGCAGGGGAAAAAATGCTGGACTTGGCATCCTAGCTGCCTGTGATGAGTTCAAGTCTACAGAACTAGATGAATCTAGGGTACTGGAGAAAATTGACAGATGTGATTGGTGAACCACTGTCAGTTCTCCTTGAAAGATTGGAAGATTGGGAGAGTTACTGAAAGGATCAGAGAAAGGCAAATGTTGTCTGATTGTCAAAAAAAAAGTGTATGTGTGTGAATATAAAACAATCTACAGACTATATGCCCATAAACTTAACTTCAGTGCCCAACAAATTATTAGAAGGTTGGTTAATGGATGTCTAGAAAAGGGAGCAGTAATCACAAAAAGCCATCAGGAATGGAGATATGTCTGACCTGGTGACTAGCACCTGAGGGTTGTGAACATGGGAGAATGGACAAAGAAAGGCTTTAGGAGGGAAGATGATGAAGAGAAAACTGATGTAAACTAAGTCAGGGATGAATCAGAGGAGGATTTCTGAGCTGGGAGGGACCTTAAAGAGCATCTGGTCCATTCCTTCCTCTGTATTACAGATAAGGATACTGAGGCCCAGAGAGATTCTGTGTCTTGCCCTAGGTCACATGGGTAGGTAAGTAGCAGAGCCAAGATCTGAACTCAGGGCCTAGAATTCCAAGTTCAACAGTCTTTCCTTTGCATCTCATGGAAGCCATAAGAACTGGGAATATATATATATATATATATATATATATATATATATATATATATATATATATATATATATATATATATATATATTCTTTCTTCTGCCTGCCTCTCCTCATATGGAGTGAGGGCATGCCTCTTTTTTTCCAGCTGCCTCAGTTTCCCTTTTGGGAACAATAACATGCTTGTCATCCATTTTCTCTGGATTTGTCTGATGGTAGCCATAGGAACAGGCTGGAAGAGAAAACTGAATGGGCTGTGATTTTTGCCCTGGCTGGGGTCCACCACAGAGTGCCTTAAACAATTGCTGCATTGGGGGGTGGGAGGCTTTTTTCTTGGAAGCATTAAGCTTTCCTGGTCATTTTAGTAACTAGAATCCCTTTAGCTCTTGATAGTAGCTTTAAAACTGGCACAGAGCCATCATTTCCCAAGCACTCAAGGATGCCTGGATTTAATCAATTAAAACTAAAAGAGAAAGAGAGGAAAGTGGCCACACCTACTGTTTCTGAGGCGGTTAATAGCACACGTGGAAGCCTGTTCCCATGGTTTTTACAAATGGCCTGTCTCTCCACAGAGCCCCGAATGTCCACCCGATCCTGTGGCCCAGGCACAGCTGCTCTGCTCCCCACCCCCGCCCCCACAGCTTCTAATGAAGTTAATCCCACTAATCAGCCTTTGAGCCATCAGTTCCTATCCGATGCTAACTATGGCTCAGGTTGTGAATGTGGCCAGGGCTTAGGATAGAGCAGGTTGGGGATCTGTCTGGCTAGAGATGGCTGCTGCTTTGTAAGGTACAGGGGGATAGAATGTGGTTGGGTTTTTTGGGCCCTTGTTTTCAAAGAGGACCAGTGACATCATGGCCGATGTCTTAACTTGTGAATGAATTGGATTTAAGTGAGGCAGAATTCTCAAAGTCTCAAGCCTCACTTTCTCTTCCTGAGTCATCAAAGTCCAGGGGCAAGACAGAAGTCAGGGTGACCAGGATGCAG